TAATAATGAGCAGAGACCTAAAGGGTTAAACTTTTAACTTTAAGGGGTTAAAAATTTTAATTTATGCTGTGAAAGGTGACAAATAAAATAATGCACATGCAACATAATATAAATGATATAGGAAACTATTGGTGGTTCTTAAACAGTTAAGTAATGGTTTGTAAAGATAAGAAATGGGACATAAAGGGTTAAACAATAGCAATTGAAATTATGAATTTTATTTTCAGCTGTTGCAATCGTCCCTTTACTTATTGTTACAATCGTCCCCAAAACGCCATTTCAGCTTCACTTGTTAAAAACTATGCTAGTTAATTAACAAAACTAATCTTTTTTTTTAAATGTTAATTAAGGTGTCCACTTACATATTCGGTTAATAATTTTTATTTGTTTAAACAAAATTACTTTGTTACAATATAATATTCTAATACCAAAAAAAGTACTTATGTAGCGTGAAAATATCTTTCGTGATGTAACTCTTTCGAAAGTACATAAAAATGGTCGCCAGCAGGGGTGTGCATGTAGATTTATTAAATAGACCTTGCGCGCCACCTAGGAAACAAATCTAGAACCAGACAATCGAAATTTTTGATCTGTTACAATCGTACCCTGTTACAATTGACCCCACTCTCCCCTACATAAAAACATTAGAAAGTTTTAACAAAACATTTAATACCATAAAAAATATATTTAACTATTCGACACATAAATCATGGATTAAGGGCAATTCCATGAAAATAAGAAATCTGATGGCCATTTTTAAAATTGTATTACATCGATTACTTTAGTGTTAATTAAACTTAAAACGGTTCAGTTTTGAAAATTAAGTAAGAAGTAAAAACTTATATAGTCTCTAATGGCAACACATTAGTTTAAAGTCATGTCAATTGACTAGCTCAGCTATAAGAAAGTTCACTGACTTTTTAACAAGGTTTGATTGACTATTTTTTATAAAGAAAATCAAAAGAAAGTTTTAAATATAACTTTATTGTCACATCATTATTTCAATTTAACTTAAATTTTAATTCAAAGAAACTTTTTTCCATATCAGCCTCTCGAAAAATATTTATAAGAGGGCACAACATAGGAAATTAAATTTGGGATGAAATGTGGTATTTTAATAATATACTTTAAGTTTGTTTACCCTGTAAAATAATAAAGTGCGCTAACAAGCCAATTTCGAGATAAATGCATGTGAAAATTTAAGCAAACTTTATATACTAGTAAACTTTACCTTGATGACGCCACTGTAGCCTAATTTTAGAAATCTAGCCTAACGCTTTGAGTTCGAATCGTGCAGTGATCTTTTATTTTTCTATCCAAATATAGATTTATTTTATTCACAAATAGTAGGGGAGAGTGGGGTCAATTGTAAGATTTTTTACTTAACTATTTTTAACTAACAAAAAATCCAATATATTATTAGTATTAATTGACAGACGAGTAAAGTAGACTATCCTCTACTAAAAAAAAATAAACACCTGATTTTAAATATTATTATATTAGTTATTAACAATTTTTGACAGTGGTGCACTTGTTACAATTGTCCCCACTTACGGGGTCAATTATAACAGATCATAAATTCAACTAAACGATAGTTAATTATACATATTATCATAGTTGTGATATATTTTTTATTGATCAAAATAGTAGTGATATTTTAGGAGTAAAAATAATAGTGAGCAAAGACCTAAAGGGTTAAACTTTTAACTCTAAGGGGTTAAAAATTTTAATTTATGCTGTTAAAAATTTTAATTTATGCTATGTATACAAATAAAATAATGCACATGCAACATAATATAAATGATATAGGAAACTATTGGTGGTTCTTAAAGAGTTAAACTGCATATTCTTCA